GTACAAGGGGTTAGACACAGGCCGTCAAGGTCAACGATTGAACTCTTTCTAGGGAACATAGAACCATCTGACAGATCTGTTCATCAGGTCTGAGAGGAAAGAGAGGATCTGGGCAAGCTGACAGTCAATCCTCCACCATGATGGAGCAATCAATGCTGATCAGGGGTCCTTCGGCCTGAACGGAAGGAATGTATTATGTATTTTGACTTGCCGGGGGAATAGGAACCGGACAGACGCTCCCCAGAATAGAAGGAGCCAGTACCATAAGGCCCTGTTTTATTTTTGAAAAAAAAAAAAAAAAAAAAGGATTGAGGCCGGGGTCCTCACAGTCTGCCCGGAGTGATCGAACGGAAAATGCTGAGAACCGGGCTTAGCGATCCTCGAATGATGATGACCATGATGATACTGATGATACTGATAATACCATAGATAATGAAGCTAATGAGAATGATGATTCAAAAATATGAAAAAATAAAGAAGATTATGCTATATCAGCTATTCTGGCCTTCTAATCCTAGAACAACTCCTAGCCCTCCCTATATCAGGACACTGTTCCTCAGAGACAAGACCAACCTAACCAGCGTCAACCATAGCTGATCTCTTCTTGCCTCCTTGCAGCCCCCCCTGGTTCACCACTGGAATGCCTTCCACCCTCACCAAACCCAGATCTCTCTACAAGGCCTCATACTCCTGCCATTTACAGGTTATAGGGGAACGCCCAAGCTCCGGCCAGCGTCGTTCTGGCATCGGCAAACCAAGGGCACAGAACAGAGCAACTCAGTTGAAATCAGTCCAGGTTCAACCATCTCTGAAGTCCTATATCTCGAATGTGGAAGAATGCTAGATGCTGCCAAAATTTCAGAACACCAAAAAGCTTGAAATAACAATAATCAGATGATGAAACTGGTGATGTGATGATGATGATGAATAGAAGACTATGTTATAACCGCACTTCTGGCCTCCTAATCCTCAAACCTTCCCAGCCCTCCCTGCACCAGGACATTAGCCCCATAGGTTGTCAAGGAAGCCCCCCCGGTTCACCACTGGATTGTCTTCCTCCCTCGACAAATCCCCAGATCTCTCTACAAGGCCTCACACTCCTGCCAATTGCAGGTTACAGGGCGACGCCCCAGCTCCGGCCAGCGTCGTACTGGCATCGCCAAACCAGGGGCAAAGACAAAGCAACTCTGTAGATATCGGTCCAGATTCGACCGTCTCTAAAATCTTATATCCCGATTAAGGAAGGAGGCCAGATACAGCCGAGAATCACAGCACACCAGAAAGCATGATATAACATTGATGTTGACGATGATGACGATGATTTGGATGATTAGATGATACAGAAAAAATCCTCCCTCTCCCTTCCTTCCTTGTTACATACTTCAATGAGTATGGGCAGAACCAAAGATCAACCAATATAGGATGAGCATTTATGCAGCGGAAGTCTGATAACGAACTGACTCACATAGACTGACCTACATGGCATCACTCCACACACATACAATCATGAGATGGTGGGGTCTGGGTCATGCATAGACGATACCCAGATCCCGTACACACATGCACAGATGAAAGGTGGGAGGAGAGA